CGCTTCCATTTACTGATTCACTGAGCAAGTATATTAAACCTCTGTAAATGTCAAGTGGTGTGTTGGACATTTGGATAAAGTGGTGACTTATATTGCCTCGCATAGTATCTGGCTTAGTTATTTCTCCTGAAGAGCCTGCCTGCCCCCTGACCCTCCATCCTGCAGCTGTAACAGCTCTGATTCCACAGTGAATTCTCACTCATTCGTTGAAGTCACTTGAGCATTACGCCATTATGTTAGTTACACTGACTGCTGTAACAAGCCTTCTGACTTTAGCTGCTTAGCACCCTAAATGCTTATTTTTCCTTGAACAATGTGATGTTCCAAATAAGTGGACTTAGTTACACATGGTTGGTTGTTTAAGGACCCAGAATGAGGGAAGTTCAGCCATCTTTCAGAGTCACCTTGGATATCAGCATCTAGATTGCAGAAAGTGAGAGCATGACAGATTATATACAATAGATTATTTGTGGGCCAAAGCATGGAAATCACAAACATCACCTCTTCCGTTGTTTGGAACTCAGGCACATGTCCATCTCTAACTGCAATGGAGAGCTGGGAAATGCAAGTAGTTGGGTCCCAAAAGAATGCTCCGGTAAGCTAGGTTGAAGGATAATGAGTATGCCTGATATAACTATGGTTTTTTTTGCCACTGTAGATAGAGTGACTTGTCTTCCTTTAGTAATTGATTCTGTTTTAGAAATCCTTTGAGGGTTAAGATGAAGGGAAACTTTTATTTTCCTTTCCCAATACAATGAATATATTAGCAAAGTAGGAAAACCAAGTAATTGAAGATTTTACTGCTTACCTGCTAGAAAAGCTGTCTATCAGGGGATACTGGCTTTCTCTTTCACTGAATTCCTTTTCCCACCTGGCAAACTAATTTAGTGAAATCCCTTTGTTGGTAAAATCCTCCTGAACCACTTCCTTCCATCCTGTTTCCCTAGACACAGCTAGTAGTTGCATTTTCGGAGTTCTACTAGAACTTGAACATAACCTATGTTAGTAATTTACTCATCTTTTCATTCATGCCAGATACTTATAGTGGAAAATAGAGAAAGAAGGGAAAGAGGGAAGAAGAAATGAAGGAAGGGAGGGAGGAAGGAAGGGAAGGGAAGGGAAGAGAAGGGAAGGGAAAGGAAGGAGAGGGAAGGGAATAGTTGAAATTCACTGTAATAGACAAGGATATAAGGAAAAAAGGAGCTTAGTTCTCCCTTGGGGATGAGGAAAAAGTAGAGAATGCGTTTTTACAAGAAGAAAGTTTGATCCAACTCTCTTATTACTGAATGAATAAATGTCTAAGTGAATACCTTTATAAACTTCTATACATTCCATACATTATCATATGGAGATCACCACAGCTCTGGTTTATAATGAACTCAAATTTACAGAGATTTAATATTTTGCCAGTGTCACATAGTGGTAACAAAATAGATCTTAGGTTTTGGTTCCTAATCTTGTGTATTTTTTCACTCTTGGAAACAAAATATTTAAGTATCAAAATCAGGGATGAAACATCAAACCACTTGAATCTCTTTGAGTGATCAAGGCTATTCATTTACACTGAGTAAAGACAGTGTTCTTTTTATTGGAATTTTGAATCATTCTTCTAATTTTTTTTCACATTTTAACTGTATATATTTTATTTTATTCATTACTTTAAGTTTTTATTGTACCGGGGGTACCTTGTGACATTTATAAAAGTTCTTACAATATATCATATTTGAAATCTCCCACCTCCATCACTCTCCTTTATCCCTCTTACCCCTGCTCCTGGAGTAGTTTCAACAGATCTGATCTTTCCATTTTCATATGTGAGTACATAATATTTCCATTACATTCAGCCTCTTCACCCTTTCCTTGTATTCTTCCCTTTCCCACTGGTACCAGGCCTCATACAGGACCTGTTTTCCCTTCCTATTCTCCGTGTTTATTAAAAAGCATTTTTGTTTGTTTAAGATAGCTCTACAGAGAGTTTCCTTATGACATTTACATGTATATATGTATTATAACTCAAATTGGTTCATGCCTTCTATTTTTCTCCTTTCTACCTTAGTCCCATCTCATAGTGATTTCAACAGGTTTAAAAATTCTGTATTCATTCTTGCATAGAAAGTACATCACCCATATTGAACATCTTAACTTCCCTTTTTTACCCTTCCTTTCCTGTTAGTGACCTCCCCTTAACATAACCTGTTTTTCATAATATTGATTGTATTTGTATTGTGTCTGTCTCCTACATATGAGAGAAAACATGCAGCTTTGTCTCTCTGAGTCTGGCTTCCTTCACTTAACATTATGTTCTCCAGTCACATCCATTTACCTTCAAACCACATGGTTTCATTTTTCTTTATGGCTGCAGTTTTCTTGACTTAACATTCCTTCAGATATATATATCCCTAGGAGTGGTATTGCTGGATCATGTGTTCTTTCTTTCTTTTTTTTTTTAACATTTTCTTTTTATTTAATTAATTAACTAATTTATTTTATTTTATCATTTTTACATTTACTCAGATGTATATGCATTGTTTGGACCACCTCCCTCACCCCTGCCCTGCTTCCTAGCAGGACCTGTTCCACCCTCTTGTTCTCCAGTTTTGTTGAAGAGAAAACATGAGATAATAAGAAAGACATAGAGGTTTTGTTAGTTTGAGATAAAAATAGTTATACAGAGAGATTCCTAGTGTTGCTTCCTTGCACATGTGTATTACAACCTACATTGGTTCACCTTTACCAGACCTCTTCACTACTTCCCAGTCCCCTTCCTATAGTGGCCTCTGCCAGTTTAAGATTACTATATTCATTCATCTACAGTGAGCACATCAACCACTGTTTTAAGTTTCCTTCCCTTTCTTTATTCCTCCTGTAGGTGTTCTCCCCTAAGTGTGTGACCCATGTCCAATAATATTACTGCATTTGTTTTAGGTCTATAATCCATATATGAGGGAAACCATACAATTTTAGGCCTTCTGAGCCTGGCTAACTTCACTTAAGTTGATGTTTTCCAGTTCTATCCATTTACTTGTGAATGACAAAATTTCATCCTTCTTTGTAGCTGAATAAAATTCCATTATGTATAAATACCACATTTGATGGTAGCTATCCTAACAGGAGTGAGGTGGAATCTTAGTGTGTTTTTTGATTTGCATTTCCTTTATGGCCAAGGATGGTGAGCATTTTTTCATGTGTTTTTTTGCCATTTGGACTTCTTCCTTTGAAAAAAGTTCTGTTTAGTTCAGTTGCCCACTTCTTTATTGGTTCATTGATTTTTGGGGAGTTTAGTTTTTTGAGTTCCCTGTATATTATTAAACAGAAACAAAGAAGTGGTTCTTCCACCATGTTTTAAAATACTGCATATTCCTGCCAGCACAGTGTTTTGTACCCAGTTAAGCTTCCTTTTAGAGGCTTGTCCTAGGTTTTTACTTATGTAATCATTGTATCTGAGGGAATGAAATTTGCCTGTGGTATATTCTAAATTGAGGAAATTTTCTGTGTAATTCAAGGAATCTTTAGTTTAGATTCTAGATTTGTGTGGCTGCTTCTTCATTTACCTAGTTCTCACCTCATAAGAGTCTGCCCAGAAACACTGTGTGGAAGCTGAGGCTGTCATATGTTCTTATCATCACAGGTTGAGATACTTTATGATAGAGTTGATTTAGTGTTCTTCAAAGTTGTAAAAATTTGAAACTTACATCAGAATTTATGGTAGAAAATCACTGCTTCCAACTTTGACTTAACTATATTTTGTACCATAAATAAATCAGTGTTTTTTAATAGTAGTATGACATGATGGCAAATTTATTAAAGTTGCAGCTAATGAAGGATGAAGGCATTGCTTATAGAAGCTTAACATTACCTATTTCCACATGGATTATTTCTTTTGCTTCAAATTTACCTGTTTGAAACCAGGGTTGTGTATCTACCACACTTCCTCCCACCTAACTATTGCCAGCTGGTAACTATCTCATTCATCAGGTTCTACACCATAAAGCATCATGATCACTTGCTCTTTTCCTTTATACCGTCTATCTAATTCATGTTCATACTGTGTTGCATTGACCTCTAAAATCATGTAATTTGAGACCTTCTTTTAAAGCCAGTGTTGAGTGCCTTTCTTAATCTTTTCCAAGCTCTGAAAGTATGGGAAAGGAACTGAGAGCTCTCTAAGAGTTTGTTGTCAAATGAGCAAGAGGACTTAGGTTAAAAAATAAATAAAACCTTAAGGAAGTGTCAATATTAGAAAACATTTATTTCATCATTTTTGGAAACACCTGCTTTTTCCAAAACTCTGTATCCGGGAGACAGAATAAACAGTGGGATTTTTTTCAGCATGTGTAGCACATAGGGGAGGGCAGATGTACAAAAATAGAAAGGAAATGGTGACAGGATCCTAAACTCAACTTCTGTTTTCTATTTTTGATTAATAGTATGTTTTTCATTTTGTTTTGTATTATTGTTCCAAGAGCAGGATAAATGCCAAGTGTTAGAAAGACAGACCCACTTTCCTATTAATCATTACTCGAGAAACAACATTAGTGCCTTTGCATCCTACCTAATGCACTTTAATCCGTAGGAATCTAAGAGTGCTGTAGAAAATGTTGGTAATAGAAGGCTAAGAGGTATCAAATATATGTTTCAAAAGAAAGAAGTGGCTGTCAGGGGTATTAGGATTTCAATCTGATATTTTTGCCAGAATTTTTGAAAGGTTCTTAAATTTTTTCTTAACCTACTGATTAACTTATCACCAATAAGTCATCAACAAAATCGTAATTAACCACACTTAATAAAAGTGACATCAAACTATCTGTCCTAATCCTTCAACCATACAGTAGCAGAATAACAAAATAATAGGTTGTAAAGCTTTAGGTACCAAACAGTGAAGGTCAATGACTTTTTCTGGTTAATTATTCAGTGCTTATTCCTGAAAGTTAGTTTTGTTCTCCCACATACAACAGAAGTAAAAGATGTAGAGCTGTTTGTTTTCTGTTTCTGTTTTGCAGGGGAAGATGGTGAAAGGAATGGGTGGTGCTATGGATTTAGTGTCCAGTGCCAAAACCAAAGTGGTGGTCACCATGGAGCATTCTGCAAAGGTAACACATATTCTGCACTCTACATACTGCTTCTGGAGATTCACAGTACACTGAACCCCTGACCACAAGGTCACCTGACTGGTTATTATCTTCTCTGGCTCATTCAAGGTGATAGCCCTTATATATTAGGGAGGAAGATGACAACAAAGGTCATTGTTTATTACTGTTTGGCTAAGTGGTTGTTTAACTTTCAGTGAAGCCAAATATCAGGGTGCTCTTTGAACATTTGCCTTGCATACACATTAAAAGTAAAAGCTTTAATGTCTTCAAAGGCAGTGAAAATATTCAGGTTTTAAGAAGATCATAATTGTTCCTTGCTCTGTTCAAAATGAAAAGCACAATAGAATGTAAATTTTAACAATAGTTATTCCAAATGGACAGTATGGCCTCTTATCAAGGCTTCTAGAAGTCCTTTCTAGAAAGTGTTAGAAACTCATGGACTTGGTGATGGCAACTGTCCTTATTCTGAAAAGGATTATACTTTTGATGAATCAGCAAGTATTTATTGAGTACCCATCATGTGCTAGGCACTGCTAGAATTTGGCAATGATCAAAACTGGGCAAATATCCCTAATCTCCCAGAGTTTGTCTTCAATCTTCTTCCTCTTCTTTCTTCCTCTAGTAATCATAGATACCGTTATTGAACTTTTACTGTTGTCAGCAGTACACATCATTCAATGTGTGTTTGTGTGTAGAGGCACATGAGCTTTATATAGGTACTTTTATGGTTCTGGAAACAGAACTTTAGAGAGCTTCTGTCACTTGCTGGAGGTCACATAATTAGTAGAACTGAGATTTAGGCCTGTGTATCTCTGATTCCAAAACTCAGTCTTCTAACCATGAAGCTATCATTAAAACTTTCTTCTTTTTTCTTGAATTAAATGCATCTTTGACCAAACTGAGTTTTAATCTCTTTCCTGACTTGAATCCCTCGACTTCTTCTGATTTGAAAAGTTGATATTAGATGACACCTTCTTCATTTGCTATATCTTTTGTTTATTCTTCTTTATCCCTTATCATTCTTAGTTTTAAAATCTACCAGCTCTCATTTTGATACCATTAATCTGCAAGAAAATGGTAGTGAATTTGCCCTGTTTTTAGATAGTGATGCAGCATTGTGCAAGAACTTGGAGCTGAAGATTCTCACTTCACTTAGTTCCCCTGGCAAGTCATTTGTGCTATGAAATACTTTTGTGTGGATACTGCAGTAAATAGGAGTTAGCATAAATTGTTTAATAAATAGTGGAAAGTGAGCAGTGGTGCACAAATGTGGAACAATAGAAATGGAACCAACACAAGATGACTTCTGAGAGATGCTTTGCAGAGCATCCAGAATATTTCATTTCAGAGGCAAAAGGATGCCAAGCATGCAAATCAAATCTAAATCTTTTCTGGAACATAATGTCTATTTGGGGAAAACTCCCTTTTGTTGTTACTTTAATGTTGACGCATAGGCGCTGAAGTCTGACTTAGTTTGGATTATTTTTGTGCATTGGTTTTCAAAACATTAGGCCTGTGTTTAACAAATCCTCTCTCTCTTTTTCTCACCAATGTCTTTTCTTTCTCCTCATCTGGAATTTCTGATAGGAAAATAAATGGTACTTCAAACTTCCAATTAGAAATCCCTTATTGAAGTTTTCCACAGGAGCATGATCATATTTTTGCATTTTCTTTTTGTTTACCCTTCCAGTGAAGAAATTGATGGTATTTTAGTCTAAAATTAGAGTTAGATAGTTTCCCCAGGACAGTTTCATTTGAACAAGCCAGAAAGTACTTGTGATTAAAATAACAATTATGCTTTGTTCACACTTAATAGTTACATAACCTTGAAAACTGAGCAAAATTTCTTCCTACCACCTTCACATCTTACCTGTGATCCTATGCTGTGTGGTTGTCACTAGGGATTGTCTCTCTGTACTCATTATTAAATGGTGACCTTGCCACTTCTTCCCTGCATCTTTTACTTTGGCTACAGGTTGGTAAGGTGAAGGTTCTCCGTTCCTGGCAACCTCTCCTGTTACTGACCTGTTCTTTCAGACCTGCAGCCTTATCAATTGAATAGCCAAGGGGACTAATCCCTAGAGTTTTATAAGACATGAGAGTGAAAAGTTTGCAATGGAGGATTAAAACCTGAGAAAAAAAAATACAATCTTGTATTCTTGGGCTGCAGTTTTTTGGTTTTCTTTTCCCGTAAGTGGGTGAACCTGTCCACTAGTTTTTTGGGTGCAGCTAGCTTTTCACTTCTTTTCCTCATCTAAAGGATTAAAGATACAGGTTATTTATAAATACAGCATTGCCCAGCCTTTAGAAATAGGCCTTTTTGTTGTTTTTGATAAGAGAAACTTTTTCTTTGTAATCCTTTCTAGCCAGCCATTTCCTTTCAATCAGTAGCCAGAAACTTCTAGAATCTGAACCTTATCTGCCTGCTGGTGCTGCTCCTGAGTGACCCCTGATCTTAGATTACCTCTGAAACATATCAAGAGCAGGCATCACACTTGCATTGTAACATGATTTTCATTGAGGCTGGATCCCAAGGTTCCATAGTTTTCTTGGTGTCCTGCCACCTTCCTTCTTAAGCTTCCTTTCATCTCCTGGCCTATTCCATCTTCTGGGGCTCCTGCCTATGTTCTTCATATTAAACCAAGCTGCATCTTCACAAAGCTGCCTCTGCATCCATGTTCCATGTAAATCTGCCCTTTTCAGAAAACATCAAGTTTCAGAATTATCCCTTTCTTTGTATTCATTTTTCCTGGCCCAAGTTCTCCTTACTTTGGTGAAATAGATATCAACCAAGCATTTAAAAGAAAATAGTCTGAGAATATGAACTCTTTCTTCCATTTTGTATTAGAATTTTCCAAGTTTTACCTGAGTGCATAGTAGCCCAGTGACAGACTACATTTCCTAACCTCTCCTGCATGTAGATATATCCATGTCACCAGGCTTGTGTCAGTGGGGTTTGAACATCTGTGATGCCTTTGAGTTCTGAGTCAAATTCTTAAAGATAAAGCCAGTTCATTGGACTGTCCTTGTCCCCATTCTGTCCATCTGCTAAAGGCCTTAAATTCAGTGACAGCCTTTTGCCTAGGTTTGCAAACCATATGCTGAAGGGAGCGGAGCTGCCTCACCAACTTGAATCCACAAATGCCCTAGCCTTTCTTCTGTGGGTTCTTGCCGGGACCTCTTGTAACTCCATCCTTGTCCATGTGCTCTTATTCTCTGCACCCTTCTTGTGTGCCATCTAAATTTTTGGAAGTATTATTTTTCACTCAGTGGTTCTCTTCAATCATTTTTCCAACTGGAATTTTCTAATGATCTCTAGAACTGTATTTCTAACTCCACCTAGTTGTTCCAGAGCTATTAAACTATAATATACTTGCAAGTGAAATCTACATCCTTTCCCCTAATTTATTTGCTCTTCCTTTTCTCCAGCTAGAGGAGTAAGGCTCTTCCAGCCCCTCTTCTGAAAAGACATCATGGTGCCTTCCCACCCCTTACCCATCTCCACCAGATACTATAAACATTGCATCTACAGTATTCCAGCAGTCTGTTCCCTCCTTAGTATTTCTACTCTCCTTGCCCCTATTTAGGCTCTTGTCACATCTGCATCAATCACTGTGGCAGTGTTCCGAAGGTCAGGGGACCTTACTTCCTGATAATGGTAATCAAGCACACCATGACTGGAGTGATAAGTTTAAAACTAAAATTGTTCCCGTTTAAATCCTTTAATAAATTCAACACTGCTCTGATAATCTTAAGCCCACCTGGCTTTCGTAATCAGCTCCCCAGCCTCTTGCCACTTCCTTGCCTCCAGGACTTCAGTTCTGCATTGTGTTGGTCCTGTCCTAAAGTGATTCCACACTCTGTAAGTTCGCCTGTTTTGTCTGGCTCACTCCTTCCTCTATAAGGTCATAGAAAAATGAGCCAACATTTGGTAGATCTGGTGCTTGAGTGGTGATTTTACTCCAGTTAGCTCAGAGTCCCCTGAGAAGAGAATAATAGAAATGAGTACTCAACATTTCAGTTAGAAGGTTGTAAAGCAGATTTTGTGATTGAGCAGTCAGTTCCTTTAGTGGGAGCAACAAAGTGCTCTCCATGAGACTGTGAGCCCATCTTGACAAAAAAAGCTGGACACAGTAGCACCCCGTTATCCCTATTACACAGAAGGTATAAATAAGAGAATTGCAGTCCAGGCTAGCCCAGGTGAAAAACACAAGACTCTATCTGAAAAATAGCTAAAGCAAAAAGGACTGGGGACATGGCTCAAGTGGTAGAGTGCCTGCCTAGCAAGCATGAGGCTCAGAGTCCAAACTCTAGTACTGAAGGAAGGGGAGTGGTAGGGGAAGAAGAAGAGGAGGAGGAGAAGAACAACATAGTGTGGAAAGTATGAGTGTGGAAGCATTTGCAGGGAGAGCTGGAGGATGAGGCAGAGTTTGTAGGGGCTATAGTATTATAGGGAATGAGGGAATAGACACTGGGACAATGTGGGATCAGGAAGATAATGTGTGTTGAAGGATTTGCAGGTATATCCTTGTTGTCAGAGAGCAAAGGGAGAAATGTTAGGTGACAACACACATACAATACACACAGGCCACTTTTCACATAGTGGTCAGAAACCTGGTTTCCGTAGTATAGTGGTTATCACGTTCGCCTAACACATAGTGGTCAGAATTACCTTTAAAAAATGTAAATAGGCAGAGACAGAAGGATCATAGTTCACCGCCAGCCTAGGCAAATGTTAGCAAGACCTTATCTCAAAAACATGCTGGGTGTGGTGGTTCACACTTATAATCCTAGCTACTCAGGAGATAGAGGTAGGAGGATTGTGGTTCAAGACCAGCCTGGGCAAAATTAGTGTGAGACTCTATCTGAAAAACAAACTAAAAACAAAGGAGGCAAACTATAGACAGAAAAAAATAAAGAAACAAAGATAATAACAAAAGCAAAAGAACTAGGGGTGTGGCTTAAGTGGTAGAGTGGTTGGTTGGCAAGCGGGAGGTCCT